AAAAAAAAAACCTAAAGTGATACCTGGCAGAGGAGATATCATGATCCAGAAGGTGATTTTCTCAGGGTGAGGCTCATCCATTTCACTTGGGATGTGCTGACCCCTGCATCTCCCCAAATGTGGGAAATGCAACTGCCTAATTTGTGATAATAGGCAACTATGTTGAGGCCCTCCACTGGATTTAAGCAGTTAAAAAAAATTAACTAGGTTGTCGACTTTTCTTCAATTTTTCTGTTCCTATTTAGAAAAATAACAAGGAACAGGCAAAAAATAGATACCTAGGCCTGAGACTGAAGTGCTCAGTGGTAGATGTGATTAGACCCTGGGTTACCAAAGGGATTCCTCTTGAAAGTTTTGTAAAGGTCTAGTGAAATCCTGGCTTTTCACCTTCTTCATTTTAAAAAGAAAAGGTTCTGAATTGTGTCAATATTTACTCAAATCATTCTTCTTTTTAAATCTGTGGTTAGAAACAAACATGTGCTTTGTCTTGGTCTTTTTTTTCCTTTGTTCTTTTCTTCTGTGGCTTTGAATACCAACCCATGCTGACAAACCTCAAAGTTGTATCTTCATTCCAAACACCCTTTTGCCCTCAGCTTTATACTTGGATGTCTAATTGACTAGAGCCCCGAAGATTGAGGGAAGAGAGCTTGGAATTCATGAAGATATTTCAGAAAAAAGTTGATAAAAGTAATGATAAAAGGAGAAATTTAAGATGATTCTGAGTTTCCTCATTAGGGTGATCCATTGGGAAACAATTCTGAAGAGCTATGGCTTAGTTCCATGGTAGAGTGACTGGCAAAAAAAGGCCCTCGATTCCATTCCCAGCACCATAGAAACAAACAACCTAGGGAAGCAAGTATGGAGATTAGGTAATACCAGAGAAACTAAATTACACTCTTTTGCCCTGGGTTGAGTGGGCAGTGTTCATTCTTAGGATAGTAGGCAGGAAAATGAAAAATCAAATTTGAGTTTCAGGCCATATAGAACTGTTTAACAGGTTCTTGAAAAGAGTTGGAATAAAGGTAGTATCTAGGCTAGAGACATGGATTTGGTAATTACTTAATGATGTATAGAAATAGTTTTGTTGAAGGCTGGTTCATTTGGTTAAATGTTGTTGTGTAAGTATGAGAACCTGAGTTTGGATCCCTAGCACCCAAGTTAAAAAGGCAGACATGTATGTGTCTGTGACCTCAGTGCTGGAGGCAATTCATTGACTACCTAGCCAAATGGATGAACTCCAGGTTCAGTTAAAGACCATCTCAAGAAACAAGGTGGAGAGCTCTTTCAGAAGACATTGACATTGGCCTCTGGCCTCCACACACACATTCTCACCAGGTACACGTGCACCCATGTGCACTTGTATAAACTTGGACACATAACACAAAAAAGAGATAAGATTTTGGTTTTGTTCTGTTTTTTTATTTGGTTGGTTGGTTGGTTAGTTGGGTGTTTGTTTTAAAGACAGCCCTAGCTGGCCTAAAACTCAGAGGTTTATAGGCATGCACTACCACACTGTGTTGTAGAAGTAGATTAAAGTTATGGAACTAGATTGGTCTTGGATTTAAATTTTTAAAATAATAACCCTAAAATCAGGCATGGTTTTGTGTACTTGGGAGATAGAGGCAGGAGGAGCCAAGAGACCATCCTCAGCTATATAGAAATTCAAGGCCAACCTAGGATACAAGAGATCCTGAGTTTAAAAAAATGTAACTGAAGGTAGAACGGTGGGGATAACCCTTGTCTTTCAGAGTTCCTTGGGAGGAAGAAAAGCAGTTGTCACAGAATAAATACATCGGGGACATGGTTACAGCTTGACAAAGCCAGAGGAGGTTATTCTCAAGGAGATTGCAGACCAGCAAATTTCCTAGGTTTGGATATGGACCCAAATAGATCCTGTTTGTGGGGCAAATAAGATGAAGTGGAAGAGGGGAAGTCTGGTTATTTGATTTGGCAATTTGGAAAAGCATTGGTGAGTATGAGCCAGACACCCAGAATTTTGAAAACAAGTTTACCTAGAATTAAAATAGTAAAAGACAACTATGAATTGCAAAGAGTTAAAAATCTGCTAAGTTTGACTTTTAGCCTTCTGCAACATAAAAGAAAGGAAACTCTGAGATCACATTATTTGAAGTTGCAGTTTCTTTTCAACAAATAAAACCAGCCGTACAAAAAAACGGTCTATATATTTGTAGCTAGGGAAACCTGGAAAATACTCTCATGAAACTTCCATATATTCTGTACATGGAAAAATAACTTGCATAATTATCTGAAGAAAGACTGTAGAGTCATGAAAGTGAGGAGCCAAAAAGTAAGCATCTTTGTGCACGTTAGTGGTGTAGTCATGAGCTGCCCTCCAAAGTCTAAGTGTGCTAACCAGAACTTAGGCTGAGAAAGATCAGCTATTAAGTTAGTGGTGCCTGCTCTGTACATTGGGAAGAAGTTCTCAGGCTCTTCTGTCACTTAAACCATTTCTAAACTCTCCGATGATTATTTTTTTCTTTTCCTATTTTTTTAAAGACAGGGTTCTTACTGTATTGAGGTTAGCCTCAAATTAAAAAATCTTCCTATCTCACCCTCCTAGTGCTGGTTTTAGATGTGAGCCATCACATCTGACTCTCCAGGTTTTTTGGGGTTTTTTTGTTGTTTTTCCCAGCTAAAATCTTAAATCATTCATAAGAAAATTTTGAGCAAATAAAGTATTTCCTAAGATAGATTATATATTTACAAGAGATCTTGAGTTTGTTACTGAATACTAAAAACAGTCATTCAGTAAAATTATGACAATAAACACCAAAGATGAAGACATTTATAACCCCTTTTCTCATTGGGTTCATAATCTAGAAGACATTAAACAGCCTAAGTATCAGTTATTCAGAAAAACTCTTAAGTGGGAAATGAGGTTGGAGGGGAATATTGCTCAGTCGTCTAGCATATATGAGTCTGGGTTTGATCCCCAGCACCTGAAAAATACACTCTACATTCTTAGTCTTACTTTAGAGGGCTGGTACAATGACTCAGCAGGTAAAGATACTTGCCACCAAGCCTGATGAACTGAGGTCAGTCACTGGGATCCACATGAAGAAGAGAACCAACTCCCACAAGTTGTCCACTAACCTCCACGTTTTCCTGTGTGTCTGTGGGTGAGCACACACACACATTGAATGAATGAATGAATGAATGAATGAGGAACTGGAAAGATGGCTCAGTAGTTGAGAGCACTTGCTGCTCTTGCGGAGGACCCAAGTTTGGTTCCCAGCACCCATATCAAGCTCACAACAGCTTGTAACTACAGTTCTGTGAGTTTTGACACCCACTTCTTACCTGCACAGGCATCTGCACACACATGAACTCACTCGGGCACACATAAAATAAATAAGTAGATTTAAAAAAAAAAACATATAATTTCATTTTTAAATTGTTCATAGTGTTTGGAGAAGTACTGGGTGCTACCTAGCAGAATTAGTCATGTGTAAGGTTGAGGAAATGTTTCTTAGGAAACCTGAAAATAAAGAGGAAGGAGGTATAGTGTTCCATACCTAGATCCCTTAGAGGGCAAGTAGCGTGAATATAGACATTTTTCCTTTGAATTTAAGAATGTAGAATTTATTCATGACCTAATGAGGTCAGTTTTAGTAGAGTGAAATGCAATTCAGATTACAGTTGCTTATGAAACATGTTAGCAAGAAAACAAAGCAAGCAACTTTTCCCAGAAATGTAGATCCAGAGCACTTACTCTTGGCACATCCGTTTGTTTTTTTACAGGGAAATGTGACAAACTAAACTACAAAAGAGCCCCGAGAATTGGAGTTACAGTCAGGGGTTAGCCACTATGTGAGTTCTAGGAACCAAACCCAAATCCTCTACATGAGCAGCCAGTGTTCTTAACTGCTGAGCCATGGTTCCAGCCCCCAGAATTAGTACTCTTTAAATGTTTTCACTGTTAATACCAAGAAATGAAGTGTTAGGTGTGGTAGTGCAGTCCCAGCACTGGGGAGGCTAAAGCAGGTGGATCACCAAGAATTTAAGGTCAACCTGAGCTGTAGCTCATTAAATTCAAAATTAACCTAGGTTACGGAGTTGACACTGTCTTGAAAAACCAAAGAAATACGGGACAGTGCATGAAAGCTTTCTGATGGTTCTCTGGTATGGCTGCTGAGACCTGGTTACTAATCTAGGAGTCTAAATGGGTAAGAAAGGGCAAAAGGGTTATTTTAAGAATGTGAGCACTACAGACAGTGATTGATTTTTCAGAACACCAAAGCCCACTGCCACCCTTACATGCTTTTCTGTACAGTGATTCTTAATTTCCATGATTTTTTTCTCTTACTCTTTATTCATTTTTTTTTTTTTTATTTCCAGGTGTTGGTAAGTCGTGCTTATTGCTACAGTTTACAGACAAGAGGTTTCAGCCAGTGCATGACCTCACAATTGGTAAGTTTTATAAAAGAAAAAAAGATAAGTTTTGAACAGCTTCAATGTAGTATGCTAGAATATCCATTTATTAAATAGTGACTGTGTTTGGTTTGGAGCAGAATTTAGTCTCCATTACTTTTTAGATATGTATGTATAGTGAAAATAAATGTTAGCCAATTTTTCATAAGTGTAAGTTGTATATGTAGAATGTAAGGTATTAATAGTTAAGATTTCAGTTATGTTCTATGATGAATCATACTATTAAGAGACAGTATGGCATCCTGAAGCTTGCTGGAAATTGAAGTCTCTGTCAGTAACCATCTGGGCAGGCTGCTTCCCCTCCATATCTCAGCTTCTATCCATACAGTGAGAACAACAGTACCAATCCCACAGTTACTGTGAGAAGTGAGAGAAAAAGCTTAAAGCACTGGAACAGCGCCTGCAGCATGGCAAGTACTGCAGACTTCCCTATAATTACCAACAAAGAGAAACCACCATCAGCCAACTATGGAAACTAAATAAGATAGTCACTAGTAACAAATTCAGTCTGCCTTAGCTGTTATTATCTTAGATAGTATTACTATTGCTATGTAAGTAATAGTAATACTATTACTGATGTTTATCAGCGTGCAATGATATTTAAAAATTAATGGGGCCGGGTGTGGTGGCACACACCTTTAATTCCAGCACTCAGGAGGCAGAGGCAGGCAGATCTCTAAAGGCCAGCCTGGTCTACATAGTGAGTTCCAGGACAGCTGGGGCTACAGGGAGACCCTGTCTCAAAAAGACCAAAAAAAAAAAAAAAAAAAAAAAAAAAATTAATGGAAAAAACTAAAAATTTTAGGTAGTCACAGTTTATTGGAATATTATTTATCATAAAACCTCACATGGTGGCCTGTCTGCAATCAAAGTACTTGGGAGGCAGAGGCAGGAGGATCACTACAAGTTCAAGGCCAACCTGGTTGTCACAGTGAGTTCTAGGCCAGCCAGGCTCACATCGTAGCCAGACCTCTCTAAAAAATTTTTTAAATAAATTGTGTGTGTGTGTATCCATCCTAATGGATAAGGAATTTGGCTGAATTTTTTTTTTTATGTTGCAGCCTGCCAAACAACAAGTGTGAGGGGGGAGGGTAATTGGAATTCTCATTATTTTGCTAAATGAAACTCAGTCACTAACTGTTTATTTCGGGCTGGGAGGTGTGATTGTTTGTTCCATTTTTTTAAATATTTTATTTATTATTTTTATTTTATGTGTATGAGTATTATGCTTGCAGGTAGGTAAGTGCACCCGTGTCATGCAGTGTCCACGGAGAACAGAAGAGGCTGTCAGATCCCCTGGAACTGGAGTTATGGACAGTTGTTAGCTGCCATGTGGGTGCTGGGATTTGAACCCAGGTCTTCTGCAAGAACAGTCAGTGTTCTTAACCACTGAGCCATCTCTCCAGCCCTGTTTGTTCCATTATTGTTTGTTGTTTTTTGCTTGTTTGCTTTTTGAGCTAGGTCTCACTATGTTGCCTACTATGTTGACTGAAAACTCTGTGTAGTCCAGGCTGGCCTTGAATTTGTAATCCTTCTGCCTCTACTTCCTGAGTGCTAGGATTATACCCAGTCTCTTAATTTTGTTGATTTTATTAATTTATCATTTATAGAATGTTGAATGTTACATCTTTTATTTTTAAAATAGTAAATCAAAGATAGCACTTTTGAATAAGATTTTAACCTATAGCTGTTTCAACCATATCACCATATCTCATGTACTTTGGATATATTGGACTCTTTTATTAACAACTAAAGTTGAGCCAGATGTGCTACAGCATGCCTGTAATCCCAGCACTTGGGTCATAAAAACAGGAAGATCTAGGACTTCAAGGCCAGCCTTAGCTGCATAGAGTTTGAGGCTAGCCCAGGTGGCATGAGACCCTGTCTTAAAAAAACAAAACCAAAGGAGGAGTGGCAAGATGAGTTAAATAAACAAAGGATATATGAAAAACCTTTGTGGAAACCCACTACTTTGATAAGCTATTTTTTTTTTTCTTTTTTTTTCAAAACTGGAGCTTGAACATTGGTACCCTGTATGGGTACCTAATGCTTCCCTCAGAAGTCATAGGTGATTAAATGAAAATTTCAGTGCCAAGCATAGGATACCTCCCTATGAGTCATTAATCAGACCTTAGTACTTAAGACATGGTGCACTTCATTTGTGGGACTTAAAGAAATCAAAGTGGAACTGACCTAAAAACTTCTTCCCTGCTGACTGGCTTTCATGGTACTAGAAGATGCTGTGCAGTCCTGGGGGAGAAAAGGCATCAATGTTGTTTGTTACCCAGCAGTGAACACTGCATGCTATAATACTGACCTGCTGGACAAGATATGACCACTGGTACAATAGTGGTGTGACTATTACCAACTTTCTGATTGGACGTGACACCTGCTCCACAGGGAGAATTCATGACTAGTACTATAAACTTAGTCAAAAGTCCATAGCTATAGGAAGGTCATAGGCCCAAAGGGGGAACCTATTTCTGTTGTCTTGCTAAATGGACATGTTGTCAAATTGCCTTCTAAATATTTATATTTATGCATGTAAATTAGTCTGTCCTCAACCTTGGCCAGAGAAGTTTCTCTGCAGTGGGCAGCAATTAATGCAGAGACTCATAACTGGTCAAAGTGCTGAGACTATTGAGTGCTCAGCTCTAAATGGGCTATCCATTTCAACCCTCCTCCAAGACTTTGGTGAAAGAGTGGATAGAGAGAATGTAAGAGCTGGAAGATGGGGAGGACTGCTGGGAAACCGTATCTTTAACATGACCCATTCACTCATGAATTCAGTGCAGCTATGATAACCTGCACAAGATCAAGCCAACAAATTTGGTCAGCATTCCAACGGGCAGCACTAATTGGACTCAGTGGTTTGTAAAAAAAAATAAGGAGAGGGCATATGGGGAAGGGGGGGCATATTGGGGAATGGGAGGGGAAGTTTGTGTGGTTACGGGCAAGATGCATTGCTTACATATATGGAAATTATCAAAGAATAAAAGATACTCTTTTTTGAAAAATCTTTTCTTTGCTTAATAGATTTGGAATCTTGGTAGCCAATTTTAGGAATGAGTAAGTCCTAGACAACTAGCCAAACTCTTGTTTTTAAATATAAAGTAGTAATTTAAAATGTATTTTCTTTTCATTGTATCTTACTCATAAATTTCTAAGTTGTTGCAGCCACATCGAGAGAATGGACCTGTGTCTGCTGTCAGAAATTGGCATCTGCTATTCTTGGGAGAAGAGATAGAGGAGTAGTCTAAAGAAAGTTGTTCAAGGCCAGGCGTGGTGACGCACGCCTTTAATCCCAGCACTCAGGAGGCAGAGCCAGGTGGATCTCTGTGAGTTCAAGGCCAGATGGTGCTACAGGGAGATCCTCTCTCAAAAAGACCAAAAAAAAAAAAAAAAGAAAGTTGTTCAAAAATGAATTATATAACAGGCCACCTGCCCAAAAAAATTTGTACCAAGAAAAGCCAGGACTGCATGGATTCCCAAAAATTTAAGGGAGATATTAACTCTTCATACAATCTTACCAGAAATAGAAAAGAAATACTTGTACACTTGTCCCATGGGGCCAGTACTGCTCTGATACCAAACCAAAGACATCACAAAAAAGCCACAGTCCATTAACAGTATCACTCATTATGAACACAGATCCATAAATCCGTCACAGGACAGCAAGTTGAATCCAGTAGTAAATAAGAATTATTACAGACCTTCAGCAACTTGGTCTGTCCTAGGAATGCAAGGTTAGCATAACATACAGAAATAAATGCAGCAATCTATGTGACTAGCAACTAAAATCACACAATCATATTAATATTTAGGTTGGTGCAAAAGCAATTGTGGTTTTTGCAGCACTGAAATTTGCTGTATGAGGAGACTAGAGAGATGGCTCCGCAGATAGAAATAACTCTAAAGGACTGAGAACACACCAAGTATGATTTCTGAACACAGCAGGAACCAGGTTCAGTTCCCAGCAACCACACAACACAGCAGCTAACAACCACTCATAACTCCAGTTCCAAGTGAACTGATATCCTCTTCTGGCCTCTGTGGGCACTGCATGCATGGGGGAACAAACTCACACAAAGACAGAACACTCATATACAAAATAAAAGTAAGTCGAGCATGGTGGCACATGTCTTTAATCCCAGCACCCAGAAGGCAAAGTCAGGCAGATCTCTGTTAGACTGAGGCCAGCCTGTTCTACATAAGTGAGTTCCAGGACAGCTGGGGTTACAGGGAGATCCTTTCTCAAAAAAACCAAAAAAAAAAAAAAAAGAAAGTTGTTCAAAAAGTAATTCATATAGCTGCCAACTGGCTTAACTCTTGGTTGTCTGGTGGCAATTGGGAAATCCAAGGCTAAAAGGAAAGAGAAGTCAGGAGTCTTTTTCTACTTCACTTTAGCCTGGACTGACTGTTCTCCATTACTCCAGCTCCTGCCCCATGCATGGCAGGCCCACTGGTTGTGTGGCTCCTGAGTTCTGCTAACCGTAGTCCCTCCCTGTGTTCTCTAGTCATGAGATGCTAGCAGCTTCCTGCTATGGCTAATCTCTAGACTGAGTCCCCATCTTTTCTTGAGTTTCTTAGCTCTTTCTTTGTTGTACTCATGACTTAAATACTTCAGTGAGGATTCTGTTTCTTTGGATAGGATCCTGACTGATACATCTTCCTTCTTCCTATCTGATTTTAACAAGTTGGGGGTTTTTCCCCCATTTTTAATTTGTTTTTTATTCTTTGATAGCTTTATACATGTATGTAATAAATTTTAGTCCCTTTCAACTGTGTCTTATCCCCCTCCTCCTGTTGAAAACCTTCTTCCCAACAGGTACCCCCTACTTCATATCTTTTTTATTGTGTGACCACTTGATTTAAATAGGGTTGCTTAGTAAGGAGGGTAGAAGTTATTTACTGGCACCCAGGTAACTTATCAGTGGCTACACCACTGAAGAAAGTAATACACCTTCTCCCAGCCACCATGGACTGTCAGTAGTGCTCCGGGGAGGGGTGGGGCCTCCTGAGTCCTTCCCCTTCTGTGGTGAAATATTGCTGGGCCCAATCTTGTAGCCATAGCTCTAGAGGGTTCATAAGTGCCTTGGTTGTGTCACGTCCAGAAGGCACTGTGTCAAAGCAGTCCTCTCCAATTTTTGGCTCTTGCAATCTTTCCTGCCCCCACTTCTACAGTGTTCCCTGAGGCTTGTATGGGGCTGTGATACAGATGTCCCACTTAGGGCCAATCACTCTGCAATCACTTATTCTATGCATTTTGACCAGTTGTGAGTCTCTGTCCATCGAAACAAGGAAGCTTTTCTGATGAGGGGTGGCTGGGAGCGGCACAGTGCTATGGCTATAAAAATAAGTGTTTAGAGGCAGTGTGGATCAATGTTCTTTTAGTAAAACAGTAGTATGTTCTCTCTTAGGGCCTGTGACCTCCTCAGCCATGGGTTCTTGGCCAGATTTATAGTACCAGGCATGAGTTCCCTCCTGTGGAGTGGGCCTTAAATGCAATCTGAAAGCAGTTGATTACCCACAAAACATTCTTGCCACTATTGCAACAATGGGTGTATCTTGCCAGGCCAGTTGTTTTTGTAGCTCTCAGGGTTCATAGCTGGGTAAAAGTATTGATGACTCTCCCCAGCATTCACCCCCTCCTCCAGCCTATAGCACCAGAAAGTTAGCCAGCAGGGAGGAAGCTTCTGAGTAAATTCCAACTTGATTTCTTCATGTCCCATGACCAAAGTATGTGGTGTCTTTAGCAATAGAGGTTACCATTGGTGGGCAGCTGTGAGCAATGACAATAGCCTGTATTGTTTGGGGAGCTTCTGGGACCCCCATCCCAGCCAGTATCTCATAAGGAAATATCCATACCTGGCACTGAGATTTTTCACATTTGATTTTTAAGTAAGCAGATCTACCTAACTCAGTTTAAGCAAAAGGAGACTTTATTATTTTAAGTGTTTATGTCCCACAGAAACTGAGGTCAGCTTGGAAGTCAAGCTTAAAGCTTTTGAGAAGGAAATGCAGAATTCTGCCTCTCCACCTCACATTCTTCCCTCATGCTGGCTTCATTTTTCTCTGCCTATTAGCCAATGTTTTTTATTTCTGTGTCTCCATGGTGGGAAGTAGTCCTTATGAACAGCTCCAAAGTGATACCACATTCAGGATATTAGCTTTCTTAAACTCAAATCTAAGTTCTATGAGAAAGAACATTCACTGCCTCAATTTGGTTCAGATCGTTATTAACCTTTGTTTTGTCAGCTCAGACCATGGGCCCAGAGTTATTTTGTCTGTCTTACCAAATCAATAGTGGTGGATGGTAATTTAGATGAATAGTTTTCCTAGTAATTAACTAACTACCCTACCTAGTTTTCATGTTTTTAATTTATCTCTATTGCAGTGGTCAGTTCTGTACTCTGTAAACCACAGACTCCCAAAATCATGTTTGCTCTCAGTTCACCTTCTCTCTTTCTCTCCTAACATGTAAAGATAGTATGTCCCATCAGGGATTAGCTGCTTGTGCCCCCCTGAATAACAAGTGTTTTTTTATTCCTCAGACCTCCTCACTGGATGCTACTGGCTTGACATTGATGCTTATTTGTTATTTTTTAAACAATTGTCTGTACCCCTAACTAGCTCCCAGTTATAAGAAATAAAATTAGTATACTGTATTAGTTAGTTTTCTGTTGCTGTGATAAAATACCCTGACCAAAATAACTTATAAAAGGAAGAGTTTATTTGGGCTTTTGGTTCCAGAGGGATAAGAGTTCATCATGGTGGGAGAAGCATGGCAAGAGGCAGCTGGAGCAGGAAGCAGAGAGAGCAGACTGCAAGTGGGACTAGGCTTTGAACTCTCAAAGCCTGCCCCAAATGATATGCTTCCTCCCGCAAAGCCAAGAGTCCTTAGGATTCCATGGCCACCACAAACAGCACTACCATCTGGGGACCATATACCCAGTGTTCAAATATTGAACCTGTGGGGTCACTTCTCATGCAAACCACCACATATGCCTTTGCTTATAAGAAATTCTTATTGACAGAAAAGGTGGGTGGGGAAATGCTGCAGCCAAAGTAGATGAACTGAGCCTCTGTGATGCCTAGCACCAACTTAGTTGGTAAAAAATGAGCAGGTCGTGCTTTAAAACGTCTTCATTTACAATCAGGATGAATGTAACTTGTTCCAACTTTTACCTGTTGTATATTCAGGGAAACTATATCCAGTGGATTGGAATATTTGCTAAGATAGTATTTTTACTCTGTTGCACACTTGCCTTTACTGAGGAGTAGATGGTGACAAATTTAAGCTTAGATCTTGACTAAGAAAGTATTAAATGATAGAGGACTGGAGAGGTGGTTCAGCAGTGAGAGCATATACTGTACAATTGTGAAGATCAGAGTTCTGATCCTAACACCTGCGTCAGGCATGCTACAAACATCTGAAACTACAGGACTGAGAAATCTGATACCTTTTTTTAAAGTATTAAATGATAGAAAAGAGGAAAAGTATCTTGAAAAGGTTAGGGAAAACTGTCAGGTATTATTTATCCTTGTCTCAGTGAGAATTGTTAGATAAACCAAAGCAGCCATTTACAAATATCCTCATAGACACAATTCTATTGAAAATCCATATGAAAGCCTGAACTAACAGCATTGATATAATATGGAAACTTATTAAAGAATCTCTGAATCATACCTGCATTTTAACAGGATCTTGGATGTCAAATAGACATCTCACGCTAAATACATCGATGTGTATTTCTCATCAGTGTACTAAAGAACCCATTTCTCTTTACCATGGCCTTTATTTTAGCTTACTGTTTTTGAAGTTTGTGGATCAGAAAAACAAAAGTTGGTTATTATCCTTCATGTATCATTTTTGTTGTTGTTTTAGTGAAGCCAAGTATTTTTTGTATGTTTAAGAACCATCTCCCTGAGATAGGCCTACTGTTCCTAAAGGAAGATGACTCATACATGGCCTTAGATGAGGTCTGCTGTTTTTATGCCAATAATTCAGGTATAATTGAGTTTTACTGGGTCTCTGGTAATATTCCTCCTAGACTTTACAGTGGGTCCTTGCCTCCTAAGTTGCCTAATGGGATAAATCAAGAGGTGCCTAAATGCCATCAAAATTAGGGTTCTAAGGACCCAATATGACCCTCAAAATCAAAACAAGTCAAAGATTTGACTTATGTCCCAGAGCCAGTGGGGAATATAATACCCCAAGCGCCTCTGTTTTATGTAAGTTTAACTGGTCAATCATCTGGTCATAGGACCACCCCTAGGAAGGCAGGTTATGCTAAATAGATGGGCAGAATACCTAGTGCATTAATGAGATAGTGACTTTTTCCTGCTTGTAATCCCACGGGGGGCGGGGGGAGACAACACGTCACTTCCTAGCTACAGCCATATAATCTATGAGTTGACCCTGCTTCCCTGAATTCTGACCTTCTACTCAGGCTCTAAACCTGCATGGCCTCAGGTCTTTCTTTCTTCCCACCATTCACCTCCTCAAGGCAGCTGCCAAGATCACCAGCTCACCTGCCCTGAGGATTTCTTTTTCTTTAAAATTCTAATAAAATTGTAAAAGCTTTAAAAAAAAAAATCTCTCTGGGGCCATTGAGATGACTCAGAAAGTGAAGACATTTGCTGCTAGGCGTGACAACATGAGTTGAATCCCCAGGACTCTCACATTGTGAAAGGAGAGAACCTGACTCCCCCAGGTTGTCCCCTGATCTCCATAAGTACCTTGTGGTACTCAAGCATCCACACACAGACATATACCTAAGGTCACATATACTTACACAAAAATAAGTGTAAAAACAAAATAAAACCATTTTGCTGTACTAAGGCTATTCGTCTCTTCCTTGAAGTGCTTTCATACTGTTGATGGGTGATGCTTTTGTGTATGTCTGTAACCAGAACTGATATGAAAAGGTACATTTGCCATAAATCTAATGATTTTATGTAGTACCATTTTATAGTTTTGCATTTTTTATTCTAGTAAATCCTTATCTCTTCTCTAGAGCTCTGATATTTCTGAGCCTGAGAAACATGAATATCACCATTGGTTTCTAGGTATTGACTGTACTCCAAGGATAGAATAGAATGTAGACTAAAAACCATATCAAGCTTTATATCATAGGAGGACAAGTTACCTTTCTGTCTCACCCTCCTGGTCACAGCTGAAGGAACTATAAGAGATGATAAAGTGGGTATCTTTTCTTTTTCTTCTTTTGTTTTTTGGAACAGGATCTCTTTTAGCCCAAGCTGGCATCAGGCTCACTATGTAGCTAAGGTTGGCCTTGAATTCCTGATCTTGCTGGGATTACAGGCATGACATCACTCCTGGCCAATATTGACTTTGATCTACACACTGATAAAACATTCTCTAGACAATAATAATTTGGTTTAAGAGATAGACTGCTTTCAAAGTACCTCTGGCTTACATTATATATTTTCTAAGGAGAGCACTATATTTGTTAAGGCTAATCTGTTTATCACATATCCTATAAATAAACATTCTCTGTTTTAATACTTGAATGTGGAATATTTCAGTTCATAATAAATCATTTTCTGTTCTATTCAGGTGTAGAGTTTGGTGCTCGAATGATAACAATTGATGGGAAACAAATAAAACTCCAGATATGGGATACAGTAAGTATAGAACAGTACATTGTTATAACATCAACAGAGTTGCTTTATAGAAGTTCCTTGTATGTGTGTTTTGTTTAATGATATTTTAGGTACTAAAATTCTGTAACCATGAAATTAATGTACTAAATAAGATTTGGGGTTTTTGTTTTGTTTTTTCAACTATTGATTTCATTGGATAGATGTGCCTTCAGGAACTGGGTATTGGTAGACACAGCTAAGTGAATGCTTGGACTATGTAGTCTAAAAAGAAATGCGGTAGAAAAAAAATTATATATAAATTTCTTTTTAAGTTTATATGTATATGGGTGTTCTAGTTTGCCTTCAATTGTGGTGACAAAATACTCTGACCCATATCAACTTGGGGAGGAAAGGGTTTATTTGGCTTACATCTCCAGGGTCACGGTTCATCACTGAGGGAGCCCAAGGTAGGAGCTCAGGGCAGGAACCTGGAGGCAGGAGCTGAAGCACAGGCCATGGAGGAACGCTGCTTATCGACTTGCTCTCCTCGGGCCCATACTCAGCCTGCTTTCTTATACAATACATATCAACCGGCCCAGGGGTGGCACCGCCCACAGTGGCCTGGGCCCTCCCACATCACTCAAAAATCAAGAAAATAGCCCACAGACATGGCCACAGGCCAGTCCAATGGAGGAAATTCCCCAATTGAGGCTCCCTCTACCAGGTGTATCAAGTTGACAGCTAAAGCTATCCAGTACAGTGGGTGAACCTGCATGAGTGTATGAGTACCACGTGTGTGCAGGAGCCCATAGAGGCCAGAAGAGGCCATCAAATTTTGGAGAACCAAACCTATGTCCTGTGCAGGTAACAGAATGTGCTCTTAAAGGCTGAGCCATCTCTCGAGCCTCAAGAAACTGCATCTATCCTGCTCTCTCTTAGAGTTCTCCAGTGAACTCTGTAAGTTTTTGTTTTTTCTGACCTCTTCAGTGAAGGTGCTACTTTTACTATTTCTTAAGGGTTTTCTCCATGAGCCTAAAGCACCTCTCCCCCCG